TTCTGCATCCGTTTCTTCCTTATTTGATAATGGCTGTAAGTTATTAGATTAAAATAGGATGGTTCCGAGCCATAAGAATAAAGTGGAATTGATTTCATAGAGTAGTTCTAGAGTTTAGCATGTGACCTGAGCCTGGGAAATCGTGTTTTGTTTTTTGTTTTTTTGAAGTGGTGATCCCATGTACCAAGTCAGGTTGATTTCTATGATTTTTATTGGGGTTAATAAGAAAGGTAAACTATCATTGTGATTCCAAGAAAGTCAATTATAATCTGGAACCGTATTATGGCCATTTGCCCTATTTTAGGAAGCTTACCTGAGAAAAATGAAATGAATTTAAAGGAAAGAGAACCAAAGGGAGGACAACCTGAGTTAAGAGCACTATTTAATTCATAACATAAATTTAAAAATTTTTTTTCTTTTGAGAGGTAGAGAGAGACAGATATCGTCCATCTGCTGGCACACTTCCCAAATGCTCACAGCAACCTGGACTGAACCAGCTCAGAACTCAGTCTAGGTGCTGGTGCTGTGGTATAACGGGTAAAGCCACCATCTGCAGTTTTGGTATCCCATATGGGCATTGGTTCGAGTCCTGGCTGCTCCATTTCCAATCTAGCTCTCTGCTGTGTCCTGGGAAATCAGTGAAAGATGGCCCAAGTGCTTGGGCCCTTGCACCCACATGGGAGACCCAGAAGAAGCTCCTGGCTCCTGGCTTCGGACTGCTGCAGCTCCAGCAGTTGCAGCCAACTGGGGAGTGAACCAGCTGATGGAAGACCTCTCTCTTTCTCTGCCTCTTCTCTCTCTGTGTAACCCTGACTTCAAATAAATAAATAAATCTTAAAAAAAAAAAAAAAGAAAAAAAAAAACAACTCTAGGACTAGGATCCTAAAGTACTTGAGCCATCTATTACCTGCTGCCTACCAGAGCATGCCATTGGCAGAAAGCTGAACTCAGAAGCAGAGCTGGGAGTTGAGCACAGGCACTACGATATGGGATGCAGGTTCATCCTCCAGTTGCCTTCAGTTGCCAGGAATGGGCTAGGCTGAGGCTGGGAGTAATAACTGAATCCCAGAACTCTCCCAAATGGGTAGCAAGAACCCAATTATTTGAGTCATCATTGCTACCTCCTAGGGCCCATTAGCATCTTAGTTGTTAGGCCATATGCCCACCACTCAAATGTTTTTAAATCCTGATTTGATCAGTATTTGGTGCTTTGTGCCGTTCTCTTGAAAATGCTGAAATAAGAGTTGCTATATGTCTTGATTCTTTTGCATCTTGACTATTCTTTTGACAATTCCTTAATTTCCTTTTCAGATTTCTCTTTTCTTTTGGTATTCTGTTTATAACCATCTCATATTCATGATGAACATGGTCCTTAAGTTATTTTTCACTTGGCTTTTTTTTGTAGCTATACTTAAATATATACATGCATGCACTAGATTTGTCATTTATTTTTTGTTATCATATTTGTTTAAGATTTATTTAAAGGCCAGCACCGCGGCTCACTAGGCTAAACCTCCACCTGTGGCGCCGGCACTCTGGGTTCTAGTCCCGGTCGGGGTGCTGGATTCTGTCCCGGTTGCTCCTCTTCCAGTCCAGCTCTCTGCTGTGGCCCGGGAAGGCAGTGGAGGATGGCCCAAGTGCTTGGGCCCTGTACCCACATGGGAGACCAGGAGGAAGCACCTGGCTCCTGGCTTTGAATTGCAGCGTGCCGGCCATAGCAGCCATTTGGGTGGTGAACCAACAGAAAGAAGACCTTTCTCTCTCTCTCTCGCTGTCTAACTCTGCCTGTCAAAAATAAATTATTTAAGATTTATATATCGATTTGAAAAAGCTTTTGGCCAGGAGCCAAAAACCAGTCATTAAGTTCTCACATGGGTGGCAGGGACCCAGTTACTCTAACTGTCATCTGCTGCCTCCCTGGGTATGCGTTGGCAGAAAGCTGGATCTGAAGCAGAGGAGCCAGAACAGAAGCCAAGCACTTGGATATAGGATACAGATATCCTAAAAACATGTTAAACACTGCCACAAGCAGTTGTTTCTTAATTTTCTTATTGTCTTCATGATTCTATATATTTTTTTTTTTGACAGGCAGAGTTAGACAACAAGAGAGAGAAAGGTCTTCCTTCCGTTATTTCACCCTCCAAATGGCCGCTATAGCTGGCACTGCGCCGATCTAAAGCCAGGAGCCAGGTGCTTCTCCTGGTCTCCCATGCAGGTGCAGGGCCCAAGCACTCGGGCCATCCTCCACTGCCTTCCCAGGCCACAGCAGAGAGCTAGACTGGAAGAGGAGCAACTTGGACTAAAACCCAGGGTGTTGGCATGGCAGGCGGAGGATTAGCCTAGTGAGCTGTGGTGCCGGCCAATTCTATAGTTTTGTTTTTTTAAGCCATTTTATACATAGTAGTTTTATATTCTGTATTCTAATACCTCCAACACTTGAAGGTCTAAATTTTTTTTAAAGATTTAATTTTATTTGAAAGTCAGAGTTACACAGAGCAAGGAGAGGCAGAGAGAGAGAGAGGTCTTCTATCCGCTGGTTTACTCCCCAGATGGCCGCAACAACCAGAGCTGTGCTGATCCGAAGCCAGGAGCTTCTTCTGGGTCTCCCATGGGTGCAGAGGCCCAAGGACTTGGGCCAACTTCTACTGCTCTCCCTGGCCATAGCAGAGAGCTACATGGGACGTGGAGCAGCGGGGTCTTTAACCGGTGCCCATATGGGATGCCCGCGCTTCAGGCCAAGGCATTAACCTGCCACGCACAGTGCTGGCCCCTGAAGGTCTAAATTTGTTGTTAATATTTCTGACTCCTTGGCGCTGGCCCAGTGGTACAGTGGTTTAAAGCCCTGGCCTGAAGCGTGGGCATCCCATATGGCCACCAGTTCTAGTCCTGGCTGCTCTTCTTGCGATCAGCGTAGCTCCGGCCATTGCGGCCATCTGGGGAGTGAACCAGCAGATGAAAGACCTCTCTCTCTGCCTCTGCCTCTCTCTGTAACTATGTCTTTTTAAAATAAAACAAATCTTTAAAAAAAGCAATGCTTTTAAAAAATATTTCTGACTCTTACAATGGCTTGCTTCTGTAGTGCTGACTGATGTTTTTGAGAAAACTGGATCTTACATGAAAATGAATTGAACGCATCTCAAAGGGAAAATTTTACTCTGCCTTTTCACTAGTTTAACTAGAGTTTTACTCTAGGAAAAAAAAAGCTAAGATTCGTGTGCCTTCCTTTTCTCTGTTCAAAGTTTCAGAATCTCAGTTACATTTTTTTTCAGGCAACTGAAATACTTTATAAATGTTCCTCCACCTGAGGCGCCAGCATCTCATATGGGCGCCGGTTCTGTCCCGGTTGCTCCTCTTCCAGTCCAGCTCTCTGCTGTGTCCTGGTAGGGCAGTGGAGGATGGCCCAGGTGCTTGGATCCCTGTACCTGCATGGGAGACCAGGAGGAAGCACGTGGCTCCTGGCTTCGGATCAGTGCAGCGTGCCAGCCGTAGCGGCCATTTGGGGAGTGAACCAACTGAAGGAAAACCTTTCTCTCTGTCTCTCCCTCTCACTGTCTAACTCTACCTGTCAAATAAAAAACAAATAAATAAATTTAAAAAATAAATAAATGTTCCATTCTCGAGGTAACTGTTTTCCTCATTTCACTAGTGATTTTGATGTTTACTTTTCATGTTTTTAAATAATCTTTTCTTTGTCTTTTTTGATCATTTTAGAGCATTATTTATTGACTTGTTATGATAGAAATGCTAATTGGCCATCTTTCAAGTCCAGCTTTTAGTCCTTAATCTTTTTCTATACATCTACTCTCAATATTTGATTGATCATTTTTTTTTTCAGAATTCAGAGTCCAGTTACAAATGCTATACATGATGTGTTATATCCTATGATAAGTTATCTTTTTTTCTTAAGTGACATTTTTTCCCTTTGTTTAATAATTATGTTTTGTTAATGTTTTCCTTTCTTTTTGTTCTAAGATTTATTTATTTATTTGAAAGGTAGAGTTACAGGGAGAGAGAGGGACAGACAGAGAGATTTTCCATCCTCTGGTTCACTCCCCAAATTATTGCAATTGTCAGAGCTTGTCTGGTCTGAAGTCAGGAGCCAGAAGCTTACTCCGGGTCTCCCACGTGGGTGTCAGGGACCCTGGAACTTGGGCCATCTTCCCACTGCTTTCCCAGGTACATTAGCAGGGCATTGAATGGGAAGTGGAGCAGCCGGGACTTGAAAGTGGTGCTTGTAGGAGATGCCAGCATGGCAGGTGGTGGCTTTATCCCCTATACCTTTTTGTTGGCCCCAATAAGTTTTCCTTTTACTTGCCACTACGTTCTTGTAATTCTGGAGATTCGTGTTATTTTTTTTCCATGTTGGATACTTTGTTTCTGGATCCAAACAAGCTTTCTTGGTGTGATTACATTTTTAGTAGAACATGCCCTTGTTAATCACATTATTTGTTATCCTTTTTATTTAGGTGATTTTAGGTGTAAAACAAGTTACAAGTTTTACATTGAGCTCATATAAATGGAAGAAATTCATGGAAATTTAGTTCTAATTCTTGTTTCATGTTTCTATGTGGATTTTAGAAAAATCTTTTAAACTTTAAGATTGAAATATATATTCTTGAATTAAAATTTTTTTACACTCTAGTTGTATTTGCTTCATCTTTTAAAATCAAAAGGCCTTAGTAAATAATTTTTATGTGTGCAGGATAGAAGAAATTGTTATAAAGTTAGAACAATACAAAATAAATATTGCTTTATATTATATTTACATTATGATAAGATAATAATGTTATATCTTCTAATAGAGTTACTAAAATTGGTTGAAAATTGGATATAATTTTAAGAAAGTCCTAGTCTCCTAATTTAGTGTAGCATTTTAAACCTTTATTTTGTATACTTGTGATGCTTGAAAAGTAGAAGAATTTAGGTTCTTACGGAAAATTTGCAATCTTTGAAGGTAAAAAAAAATTTAAATGTAACAAATTTTAAATCTTTGTTTTTAGGTGCGGTACTTCTTTGTAATGTACAAGGATTGGCAGTTAATATTGACCCAGTCTTATACACATGGCTTATTTATCTGCCTCAGAAACGAACAAGCCGACATATGCCACAGGTGAGAAATTTTTACAATTCTTTTTTAAAGATTATTTAATTATTTGAAAGAGTTAGGGAGAGGCAGAGAGAGAGAAGTCTTCCATTTGTCAGGACCCGAACTGATGCCCACATGGCATGCTGGCATTGTAGGAAGCAGCTTTACCCTCTATGCCACAGCGCCAGCTCAATAATTTTTTTTCTCAATGAGTAAATGTTTTCTCAGTCATTTAATAGAGTTAAATTGTCTTTTCATTGCCTCTCTCTTTTTGTTTTTCTTTTTAAGATTTATTTTATTCATTTGAAAGGCAGTTACAGAGAAAGAGGGAGAGAGAGAAAGAGACAGGTCTTCTGTCTGCTGGTTCACTCCTCACGTGGCCGCAACTACCAGAGAGGGGCCAGGCCAAAGCCAAGAGCCAGGAGCTTTGAGTCTCCCACGTGAGTGGCATGGGCCCAGAGACTTGGGCCATTTTCTGCTGCTTTCCCAGGTGCATTGCCAGGGTGCTGACTGGGAAGTGGAGTAGCCAAAAATAAAACCGGCGCTCATGTGGGATAGCAGCACTGCAGGTGGCAGCTTAGTCTACTGTGCCACAATGCTGGCCCATTGCTTCTCCTTTTACAGCTACATCAGAATTTCTCTGTCTCCTTTTCAGTCCCTGTAAAAATTCTGTTCGTCAATTTCCATACAAGAAAAAATGGATCAAAAAATTTCTTTGTCTATTAAGTGGAGTTTGTGTACAGTTGCTTGCAATGGAGAAAGTTTATAGAGGACTATAATGGCAGTACTTTTGCTTGTGTGGTTTCCCTTTATAATATTAGATTTCTGTTTTCACAGTAGATGTTGGGTTTTGTTTTTATTATCACTGTGTTTCTCCTTTATCTTTGAATGCCTAATCCTAGCATTGGGATGGTTGATGCAGAAAGGTTTAGATATATTTTGCTTAAAAATGTGTAAATTACAAAGCGAGTAGTGGTGATTGTGGTTTCTAGAATGCTTAAATGGAATTCTCTGTCAGGACAGTTAAATATAATTCTGACAGTTTTATCATTCTCAGTTTAAAGATGAGGACACTAATGCTTACTGAGATTTACTTACCTACAGTAACACAACTAGTAGATGGTAGAACTACAAATTTTGAAACCATATTCCATACTGATTATAATTTTGCATTATTCTGTTTTTAATAGTTTTGTATCTTCTTTATGAAGTGACATAATAGTTGGTAGCTGAAAAGTAATTATTTTATATTATCTAAGAATTTAAAAAGGGAAATGTACATTGTAGGGAACATCATTTAAAGGCTTTTCTTTACTTTCTCTTAGTTTCATTTGAAATTTCTGCTCTCATTCCATTTTTTCTTTTAACAAGTTGTAACAGAATATAAGGCTTTATGCCTGACACCAGATCTAAAGAAATAAAACGTTTTTATTGAGAATATCCCTCCTAGATGTATTAAGTGTATTTGAGAATATTAAGGATTATAGTAATGCCATTTTTTTTTCAAGATTTATTTATTTATTTATTTGAAAGAGTTACAGAAAGAATGGGTGATGGGGGAGGAGAGGGAGAGGTGGGGAGGGGAGAGAGAGAGAGAGAGAGAGAGAGAGAGTGAATGAATGAATGAGAATGAATAAGAATCTTCCATTCATCGATTCACTCTCTAAATGGCTGCAGTGGTCAGGGCTGAGGGAGATTGAAGCCAGGAGGCAGGAGCTTCACCTGGGTCTCCTATGTATGTGGGTGGCAGGGGCCCAAGGACTTCAGCCATCTTCTGCTGTTTTTTGCAAGCCATTAGGAGGGAGTTGGATCAGAAGTAGAGCACACAGGACACAAAAAAAGCACTCATATGGTGTTGCAGGTAGCTGCTTTATCTACTGCCCCATCATGCCAGCCCCAGTAATGCCATTTTTGGTAATTGTGAAGTGTATTGCAAATATTTGTCCAGGGTTATATAAAAACAAAAAAGAGAACTCGTTCTCACAAGCAGAGTTATGTGTGTGAGACAACTGTTAATAAGCTGAAAATCATAGGAGTAAATGAGGGAAGGATTTCTTAGTCTGAACTGTTTGAGCAAAGACAAAGAAGATGAAAGAACAAGACAAGAAAGACACCTTCATCCATTCTAGACTGGATTCAAGTGGTCTTACAGAGATTGGTAGAAATCAGTTCATAAAGGCTTTTGTATATTCTGCTAGGTATTTGACTTTTATCTTGTGGGATATGAGGAACTTTAGAAAAGTGACATAATAGACCTAGATTTTAGGAAGTTTTGCTCTAGTAAAATGTAAACTATGTGTGATAGAGAAGTTAAGGCTATTGGCAGGAACCCAGAAAACTTTTCATTCTAAATTTTTATTTTCATTGCAAATTCTTATTCTTAGTTATGACTTTCAGTAAAGGTCAAATTAAGTGTTCCAGCCCCTTAATTAAGTAAATTAGATATGCTCTTATTGGTACCAAGTGCATTCAAGATATTAGTTTTAAATTTTATTATATTTGTATTATAACTTTTAAAATTAAATTCATATTTTCTAAATTAAAAGCAGTAGTTTTATTTTTATGTAATCTAACACAATCCCACTTATTCAGTTACAAATAATATTATAGTAAGCATTTTCACAGAATATTTTTCATATTATGTTCAAACAGATTATTTTCAGAAGTATAATTAGTATCTTTGAGCTATACTTTGGCAATTTTAAAGCATTATTTTAGGACTTTTGTTATATTGCCAAATTGCTTCCTAATTGGTTTACAGTTTACATTTTCTTTTTTTTTAATTTTTATTTATTTGAGAGCTAGAGTTATAGACAGTGAGAGGGAGAGGCAGAGAGAAAGGTTTTCCGTCTGTCGGTTCACTCCCCAAATGGCCACAATGTCCAGAACTACACCGATCCGAAGCCAGGAGCCAGGTGCTTCCTCCCAGTCTCCCATGTGGGTGCAGGGGTCCAAGGACTTGGGCCATCCTCCACTGCCTTCCCAGGCCACAGCAGAGAGCTGGATTGGAAATGGAGCAGCCGGGACTAGAACCTGCACCCATATGGGATGCCAGCACAGCAGGCAGAGTATTAACCTACTGTGCCAGGGCACCAGCCCCCTACAGTTCACATTTTCACCAGCAATTTAGAATGTTACTATTTCACTACAATTCAGCAATATTGAAAAATGGACTTAAAAATCCCCTTTAGGGGATGGATGTCATAAGATACTTTTTGAATCACCTACATCCCATACTGGAGTATCTGAGTTCAAGTCCCAACTCCACTCTTCCTTCCAACTTTCTGCTAGGAGGGAGCATGTGATGTCTCAATTAGTTGAGTCCTAACCACCCAGATGAGATACCTGGATTGAGGTTCTGTCTACTGTTCCCAGCCTCAGCCTGGCCTTGCCTCACTGGGAGTAAACCTCTCTCACCTCTCAGAAATACTGCTTCTTGAGTTCTTTTTTTTTTTTTTTTTTTAGTAGAAGATTAAGCTTGTGATTATAAAGTAAATTCAAAACATGTGTCATCACAAAAATTAAAATAAGGAAGGAAGGAGGAGGGGGATGGTAAGTATCATGCTCTTTTTAAAAAAGAAAGATTTATTTATTTATTTGAAAGTCAGAGGTAAAGAGTGGGAGAGAGGGAGGGAGAAAGAGAGCAAGAGAGACAGAGACAGTCTTCCACTTGCCGATTCACTCCTCAGATGTCTGCAGCAGCCAGTGCTGGGCGAGGCTGAAGCCAGGAGCCAGGAGCCAGGAGCTTTATTTGGGTCTCTCATGTGAGTGGAATGGGCCTAAATACTGGGACATCTTGTGCTGCTTTCGCAGGCCATTAACAGGGAGCTGTGTTGGAAGTGGAGCAGCTGGGACATGAACTGGCACCCATATCAGATGTCAGCATTGCAGCCAACAGCTTTACCCTCTGTGCCACAGTGCCAGCCTCCATTATGCTCTTAAAACTTTATTGATGTATTACATGAAATCAGTTCTGTTTATGTAATAAAAATATTTCAAAGGAATATAAAAATATAGACTTTTAAAGATTTATTTGAAAGGCAGAGTTATAGAGTGGGGGAGAGGACAGAGGAAGAGAGTAGGATTATTCAATCTATGTTTCTTCTGCTAGTTCACTCCCCAAATGCCTGCAAGCACCAGTTCTGGGCCATACCAAAGTCTGGATCCTGGAGCTCATTCTTGGTCTCCCATGCAGGTAGCATGAACCCAAGTACTTGAGCCGTCACCTGCTGCCTCCCAGGATGCATGTCAGCAGGAAGGTGAAATCTGAAGCAGAGCTTAGCTTGAACCCAGGCGCTCTGATATGGGATGCAAGCATCCCGAATGGTATTTTAACTTCTATGCCAAATGCATATTCCTATATTTTGATGTTTTATACTGCAGTGGCCTATTTCCAGAATAGTGGAGGGAATAACTGGTCTTACTCCTTCTCAGTATCTCTTCATGCCTGACATGCACCATCTGTATTAGCAGTCATTCAACAAATATTTTTGAGGATTTCTTTGGTACCATTTTAGGTATTTTGAATATTGCTATGAATACAACCTACAAGAGCCTTGCTTTCATTTTAGAAAGAGTTTGTGATTTGCCACTTAATGGATTTTTACTATGTGAAAATATAGGCACAGAAAGAAAGCTTTTGTTTATTCTTGGATGATGCCTTTGCCACAGCTTCATTAATCTCATCTTTCATTCACTGTGCTTGAATTCAGTATCACACTGTGCAGCACACATGTTTTCTGTCATTACTCTTGATGTATTAATATGAATCCTGAAGTTTGTTTTAACTTATTAAAGTGCTTGATTGTATTATCTGTAAAAATTTTGGTTGTAGTGGTGTTGAGAATAACATCTGACTCCACTGCAGCCTGGCCAGACCATGCCAGCTTCTCTATCTGATCCTGCAATATTACAGTTATCATCTGTTGTTTCCCCAGCTGCAATTTCCTTCTCAATTTGTGGCTAAAACCCAACATTTGATGATTGTTTTCCATTCAGTTCAACATTGATCTTTGATACTATAGCAAACTTAAAAATACCTTTGTTTTTTATTTTGCCAAAAATCTGACAAGATTGTATTGGGTATCATCATCAGCAACATCAGATGTTATTTCAGAGAATAAAGATGAAACAGCTGCTTTATTGTCCAGCTCAGCACTCCTGCACTCAATATAGGATCATAATGTTTTCCAGCTTTTTGTAACTATAGATATTTTTATGTATTTTCTGTATGTGCTTTGAATATAAGTTTGTCAGACAAAATATAGAGATTTTCAGTATTTTAAAATATTGGAATGTCCATGTTACCATGGAAATTATCACTTTAGAAAAGTATGCTCCTAAAAATATTGTTTGATAAGAATAACTCTAGGGGCCAGTGCTGTGGCACAGTGGATTAACGCCCTGGCCTGAAGCGCCAGCATCCCATATGGGCGTCGGTTCTAGTCCCAGTTGCTCCTCTTCTGATCCAGCTCTCTGCTATGGTCTGGGAAAGCAGTGGAAGATGGCGCAAGTCCTTGGGCCCCTACACCCATGTGAGAGACCCGGAAGAAGCTCCTGGCTCCTGGCTTATGGCTTCGGGTTGGTGCAGCTCTGGCCATTGTGGCCAGTTGGGGAGTGAACCATTGGATGGAAGCCCTCTCTCTCTCTGCATCTCCTCTCTGTGTAACTCTGACTTTCAAATAAATAAATAAATATTTAAAAAAAGACAATAACTTTCTTTTTTCTAGGAATCCTAATTTTCATAGAGTATTTTAATTTTGATTTACTCTTTTTGTATTATCCTTACACTTCTTACTAAAATTTATGTTAGCTGAGTACTTCTAGTCTGTCTCTTAGTTTTCCCACAGTGGTCAACCACAGTGTGAAAATGTAAGTGAACAATTGCAGAAATAATTTCATGACTTGTACTTTAAGAAGTTTTGTAATAGTTCTGTTTTATTAGTTATTGTTCATGTTTTACTGTGTCTAATTTATAAATTAAATTGCATCATAAATATTTGTATTTAGGAAAATCAGTACGGTCATCCATCAGTGTCCATGGAGGATTGATTCTAAGGCCTATATCAAAATTTGCATAAGGTCAAGTTGCTTACATAAAATGACATAGTGTTGGCATATAACTTATATACATCTTCCCATATACTTCACATTAACTCTAGGTTACTTAAAATACCTAACACACTGTAAATACTACATACATAGTTGTTAGTCTATATTTTGGCAGGGGGGAATAATGACAAGAACACAAGTTTGTACATGGTCAGTATGGACAAAATTGTTTTTCAATGTTTACATTCAGGATTGGTTGACTCTTATGTGTGGAACCCATTTGATGTGTGTCGGGGGGTTAGTACTACCTTTGGTTTTAGACATCCACTGGGAGTCTTGGACCTTACCTGCTATGGATAAGGGGACACTCCTGGATGTTAGAGAAGGAGCGGGGAGGTGGAGGCAGGTTGGAAGAGACAGATTAATTTAAATCAATAAAGCCTCAACTTGTGAAGGATTGTGTTCAGTTATGACATGTTTAACTTTCAGTTTTTTCAAATATGTCAGTGATTCAGTTATCCTTTCTGGCTCTTTCCAGCAGCCTGTGGTAGCTGTTCCTCTTGTTATGCCAATTAATAGAAGGAAAGAAGATGAGGTGTCTGTTGGAAGTGCACCCTTGGCAAAGCAGCAGTCGTATCAGGCCTCTGAATATGCCAGCAGTCCTATAAAAACGAAAACAGTAACAGGTATGTAAGGATCTGTTATTTTACTGAACCTTGACTAACAAGTTATCCTGTCATAGTTTCTTGAGTTCCAGCTAATGGCACATAACTCTTGAGCTGGTGACAAAGTACTTTATTACCCACAACATTAGCAATAATCAGAGTACTCACATTTCTTTGTATTACTTCCCAGCTTAATTCCCACAGGGTAACATAAAAAAGGCTGGGTGACAACTATATATGGTGGAACTCTGAATGGAACCCTGAGTTTAAGGAACCTGAATTTTTTATACTGGATAGAGAGGATGCTTAACCTTTCCTTTAGAGGGATACCTTTTGTCTACTTTGGAAGCTTGTAACTAGGTTGCCCATGTTCAGAAGGCTAGTGGTAACTGTCTTCTGAGGCTTTTCACTACATAAATGTCCTTGAAAACACAATTGGGATTAAAGGTAGTCACTGCCTGTACTTGAAAGATATGTAGTAACACAGGAGACCCATTAAGAAGTGACTCCCAATATAATATGTTCAGCCTTAAATGAATTTGAAAACCATAACATAGTGTGTCTCAATCTTCTTATTTTGTTTTTCTCTCACATTGTTAGCTAGGTCATCTATGCAAATATGAAATATATCTTCCTTAAAATGACTTTATTTACCTTTGTGTAGTAAAACTAATTTGTAATTTCACTTAAGTGGTATTTTTCCTTTAACCTCAGCTTTTTATGTTTTATGGTTTCTATAGATGATAATCTAGTTTTCATTAGATCTTCAGCTTGCTTTCTTTCTTCCTTTTTTTTTTTTTTTGACAGGCAGAGTGGATAGTGAGAGAGAGAGAGGCAGAGTGGATAGTGAGAGAGAGAGACAGAGAGAAAGGTCTTCCTTTTGCCGTTGGTTCACCCTCCAATGGCCGCTGCAGCTGGTGCACCGCGCTGATCCGAAGCCAGGAGCCAGGTGCTTCTCCTGGTCTCCCATGGGGTGCAGGGCCCAAGCACTTGGGCCATCCTCCACTGCACTCCCGGGCCACTGCAGAGAGCTGGACTGGAAGAGGAGCAACCGGGAAAGAATCCAGCACCCCAAGCGGGACTAGAACCTGGTGTGCCGGTGCCGCTAGGTGAAGGATTAGCCTATTGAGCCGCCGCACTGGCCAGCTTTATTTCTTTTTTTTTTCTTTTTCTTTTTTTTTTTTTGACAGGCAGAGTGGACAGTGAGAGAGACAGAGAGAAAGGTCTTCCTTTGCCGTTGATTCACCCTCCAATGGCCGCCGTGGCTGGTGCGCTGTGGCCGGCGCACTGCGCTGATCCGATGGCAGGAGCCAGGTGCTTCTCCTGGTCTCCCATGGGGTGCAGGGCCCAAGGACTTGGCCCGTCCTCCACTGCACTCCCTGGCCACAGCAGAGAGCTGGCCTGGAAGAGGGGCAACCGGGACAGAATCCGGAGCCCCGACAGGGACTAGAACCCGGTGTGCCGGCGCCGTGAGGCGGAGGATTAGCCTAGTGAGCCGCGGCGCCAAGCTTTATTTCTTATAATCAGATTTTTCCTACCATATTGATAATGATTTAATGTTTTCAATAAGTTAAAACAATTTATAGCATATCTGTTGTGTATAAGACTTTTAAGTAAAATTGAGGACAGAAATGTAAGACATCGTTCCTACTTTTAAAAAGTTTAATATATGATTGTATACACAAGAAAAGTTCAGATGAACTTTTGTGATAGGAGAGAGCTTCCATCCAGTAGTTCATTCCTCAGATGCCCAGAATGGCTTGGGGTAGGCCAGGGCCAGTGTTGAGTGGCAGCCTAGAATGCAGTCAGCAGCATCTCCCAGGTGGGTAGCAGAAATCCAGATACCTGAGCCATTACTGGATCATTGACAGGAGGTGAGATTCTGAAGCCAGAGCTAGGAACCAAACCCAGGTACTCTGCTGTGGGAGACAGACACATTAACCACTAGGTTAAATGCTCACTCCATCATTTGTGGTGAAAGGAAGAGATAGTATCACTTTCTTATCAGACTTAATAAGAGAATGATGAAATAAATTTCTGTGAAATTTTACATATAAGTATTATTGGTCTATATTTCTTTTCCAAAAATATGATATTTTATTTATTGTGGGGAATTATTAACTTCTACCTAACCATATCCACAACCTTTTTATTGTGTTGAGATTTTCTTTATCAATGGACAAGAATGCATATGCTTAGTTTTGTGTCATAGACAGATTATCTGTAACTTGTGCTGAGTTTTGATTATAAAATTAGATATTTTTTATTTAGATATCATGCTAAGGTTTTTCAGACTTTAGTTTTCTTGATTGGGTAATTTACATACAGTTTTATAAATGAAACTTTAATAAAATAACTGTCCACTGGTAAAAGTACATTTGTATTATATGCATATAAACCACATTTTGATCCCTTATTTATCATTTACATCTGTTCTTTAAATCACACTTGATAATTTGTTTAAAATAATTATTCAGAAGGATTAATTATGGCAGGAAATGTTTTGGGGGCAGGAAATTCTTATAATGTAAATGAAAATACATGATACAGAGCTGTGTAAAATGTGATCATTAATTTTGAAATTCATCTGTGTGTGTGGAAAGTTTTATATATAAATTCACATGTGATTCACATCAATTCACAAATGCTATCAAATATATGAAAATTCCTTTGTTTTATTATGCTTTATATGTCCTTTTAAGAAATTAATATTTCTAACTAAAATGAACAATAAAACCTGAAAACAAATAGCACCTTGATTTTTGTTTCAAATTACAAATATGAACCATAGTTCTTTGCCCTAGAGTTGAAAATAATTGTTTTTAATATTTATTCATTTGAAAAGCATAAAGAGAAAGTGAGACAGAGAATCCCCTGCTTCTGATTTATTCCCCATCTTCCCACAACAGTGACAGACAATGGACAAATCCAGGAGCTAGGAACTCAGTCTGAGTCTCCAATGTGGGTGGAAGGGACCCAACTACTTGAGCCATTACTTGCTGCTTCTTAGGGAGCAATTGGGAGTGGAACAGGACTGGAACCTAGGAACTCCAAAATGGGACGCAAACATCTCTAGCAGTATCTTAACTGCTTCACCGGACACTCACCCTGTTAATTCCCCCTTTTTGTCCTTAGTGTTTCCCCATTTTTAGAAACCTGACATATGCTGTAACTACTCTTATAGATAAGGACATCAATATTCTACCAAATATAGATTATTACCCATGTTGACATAAAAATTAACATCTGTAAAACTAATGCCTCTTCTTTGGGATCTGTAAGCATTTACAGAAAGTAAAAAGTCCTGAGCATAACATTTATTTTTTATGTATTACATGTCACATATGTATATATGTATATATATGTATATGATATATATCTTTCCTTCTCAGGTGCCTGTGGAACTTGGGGGTAGTGTTCTTTTGTTTGTGATAATAATCTGTGCTAAACATTTTCTTAGAATTAAGTTTCACAAGTTGTTTTAGTTTTAAATATACAGTCTCTTTTTTAAATAAAAAACATGTTTATTTCTTTAAATTTGTACATACATTTAAATGTAATATTGCTTTAAACATCATTTGTCTTGAGTCATAAGTCACAATTAATAGTCTTTTTATACATGTAAGCATTATTTTTGTTTTCTAAGCTTCTTAAGAATTTTTAGATATACAATTCAGCAGTGTTAAGTATATTACCATTATTATATGCATCTTTATTTTTAATTGCATTTTACAATGGCGAGATACTAGTGTTGATTTTATGCTTGGATTCTTATTAAAATTCTTATTTTTATATTCAGTACATGTGATTCAATGTTTATCTTAAGTTCATGCCTAACAAATTATATGTGTAGTGGTTTTGCTGCATGAAGTCCAAGACTTGCTCATTCTGCACTGTCTCTGATTTTTCTTTTTCATTATTCAACACGAATCAGACCTTTTCCTCCTCCAATCTCAATTAGTATTAAGTAGCTGACTGCAGGGAGAATATGTGCTTGATGGCAAAGAATGTGTTTACAAAAAAATAGCACTGTTTCAGTGATATAGTTATGTAGGTCAGGGCGAGCCAGAATAAAAGCATGCTCCTCATGAAGACAATGTATTATCATAAAATTCTAAATCATTTACTAGAGAATCTGTATATATATATTCACACACTTTAAAATACGAAATCACTAACAGCTATCCTATGTTTTGAAATATTATGAACCTTAATTTAGAACTCTTGGTGTAGTATTTTATAATGGAAAAGTAAATTTTTTTAAAGAGTTATTTATTTGAAAGTTAGAGAAAGAGAGAGAGAGAAATGGTCAAACAGATCTTCCATCCGCTGATTTACTCCCAAAATGACCACAATGGCTGGAGCTGGGCTGATCTGAAGCCAGGATCCAGGAGCTTCTTCCAGGCCTTGCAAGTGGGTACTTGGGCCATCTTCTGCTGCTTTCCCAGGTGCATTAACAGGGAGCTGTATTGGAAGTGGAGCAGCTGGAACTTGAAACAGCACCCATGTGGAATGCTGGCATTGAAGGCTACAGCTTTACCCACTATACCACAGAGCTGGTCCTGAGAAGTTAAACTTTTAAAAGCAGGATAAGAAGGGTTAGCATTGTGGCACAGTGGGGTAAGCCACTGCTTTTGATATTGGCATTGTGTGTCTTGGTGCCAATTCAAGTTTTGGCTGGTCTGCTTCTGATCTAGCTTCATGCTGATGTACCTGGAAAGGCAGCAGAAAATGGTCCAAGTACTTGGGCCCCTACCACCCATTTGGGAGACCAAGATGGAGTTCTTTGCTTCTAGCTTATGCCTGGCCTAGACCTGGCTTCTTTGGCCATTTGGGTAGCCTACCAACAGGTGGAAGATACCTCTTGCTCTGTCTCCATGTGTCTGTCTGTCTCTTTCTGCTGTTCCACCTTTCAAATATGTAAATTTTTTAAAATAAAAAGGTGGGTCATAAATGATAATTCTGTAAAAAATACAAATAACTATTTATCTTAATGTTTATTCTGAATGAAACAGCATTAA